ATAGAGACTAGAGATTCCATGATGACAAAGCTGTCTCTATCAAACACCCCAATCGTGAATATTTGTGATTTGGAATACCACATCCATTACTCCAGATTGACGGGCTGAAAATTGATTCGGGCAATAACTAGTTTGTCATAGTGTATACACCTTTGTATAGGGAAATCATAGCCAAGATAATATTTAATGTTTTCTTTGAATAATATCTATATATAACTTAGCTGAGCAACACTGGCGGCTCAAGCTGCAATTATAAAGCGAACAAATTATTTTATATTTATATATGTATATATGTATGAGATAAGATATACACACATACATACATATATATTTATGACATGCGAACGCCACAAATGATACAGTTTTGCAAGTTGTGTGATTTGATGCCAGCTGCAGTTCAAATGCAAATGTATGTGCTTGCATATATCTCGCTAGTGCTGTGGCTAGAGCAATAGTTGACACTCCGTCGGTGCGTATGAGTAATATGAAGTTGCATTTCATAGAAGAGTCGATTTAAGTGAAATTAACTTGAGTCAGGTCGCCAGCGAACTCTAATGCTAGTCTAAAGCTGCTTGCTCCTCTCTCTCTCTCTCTCTCTCTCGCTAGCCCACTCACTCACTCTCTGAGACTCTGAGACTTTGATTCTCATTCTCTGCTTTTCTGTTTTCATTGATTTATTGTCTTCTTCTTCCTCATGTTCTTCGTCTTCTCACATTGTTTATTATGCCCACTGTGCATGCCTCATTATTTACGTTTGCTAATTTGCCAATTCTTGTTTGGTGTTCAGTGCGCACGCACCGTAAGGCCACGCGGATCGGAAATGCCATAGCAGCAGCAGCGGCAGTAGCGGCAGCAGCGGCAGCAGCGGCTTGCAGCTAATTGCAAACGTGAAATGCTAACAACGAGTGTATTCATAATCAAAAACTGCCAAACATTCATTAAATGCTTGAGTCCAAAATGAAAATCTGTGCAATTCGAATAGCGTACATATCCCTGTGTACGTATATGCCAATAACAGTGCTTGTGTATGTGTGTGTGTGTGAAATACTGTTCAATTAATCTTTATAACTGTTCAATATGAGTCTATATAAAAAGTACCATATATAATATAAATACTAGATCATATAGATCAGTTTTTAGTAAGGAATTGAGAGTGGATTACTGTTGCACTGTGAAAAGAATGAAACAGAAGAAAGCGGGGGACGAGAGCGAGAGCGAGAGGGAGAGTGTGAGTGCGAATGTTGAGAGAGACATGGCAACAGAAGTTAGACAATGTACTAATCGGAAGTGCGGAAGTGCAGCGAAGTGGCTGCCACAAAGCAGCAAGTAACAACAACAAGTAACAACAACAAGTAACAACAACAAGCAACAACAACAAACAACAACATTTAGCAGAAGGAGACAGCAAAAGTATTGTTACTTCCGTTTTTGGGCATGAATTGTGTGCATAAATTAAATCGCTCTCAAAGCAAAAGGAAGAAACTAAACAACATGAAGAAGAAGAAGCAGCAGCAGAAGAAGAACGCCAACAACATCAACAACAACAACAACAACAACAACATTGCGGCTCTGTTGCTGTTGAGTCACGCTGCTAGCGACTACGTCGACAACGGTTGCCTCAGATTGAACTTTACACGCTCAAGCTGTGGTGTCGCGTGCCATAAATAGATCCAGCAGAGCTGAGTGTGATGCGTGGTGGGCGGAGGGCGGAGGGCGGAGCGCTGAGAGGAGATGGTCAACAAAGCTAAAGTTAAGCAGGCAGCTCAGACGATGTGTCAAATACACATGTTTATTGTCGCTCTCTTATTCAATCGTCATCTGCCCGCCTAGAGTGTGTGGCGCTGTATGTGTGTGTGTGTGTGAATCGCTGTTTTTCAAAGCACGCGTGGCCGACTGACTAGCCACAATCGTATAGCGCGACGTTTAGTCTGCGACGACGCCGTGCGCTTTCTTACTCACATTTACATTCGCACTCACATTCACGCACGCACATTCGCATTCGCATTAGCATTCGCACTCGCACTCGCTTTCGCACACTCACACACAGCTGCACAACTCCCACAGACAGATGCTCACTCGCTCTCGCTCTGGCTGTGTGCTTGGCGCACTGCGCCTATGTATGCCTCGGTGTGGGTGACTGCGTGTGTGTGTGTGCCCACACACGAGCAACGGCCTCTCGGCAGACTTCGTCGTGATTTAAGCTGGTCGCATGTCTGCGCTCGTTAGTATGCTTCTCTCCCCGTTATGTGTGTGTGTGTGTGTGTGTGTGTAAGTGTGGTCGCTTTGCTTACATATGATTGGCTGATAATTAAAATTCGAAAAATTGTCGTCATCACTTGTCGCAGTCGTGCCGCTCCATCCGAGGGGGCCCTATTGTTGCTGTTGTTGCCCAAGATGCTTGCTGCTCGTGTGGTGGAGCTTTGCGTCGCGCCGCACGTTCGGGCTTTTGCACGTTATTTATATGCTGCGCGCCGTAGGAAAAATTAAATAAGTAAGAGATCTTGAAGAGTTAACTTGTGCCGGGACCGTTCGACTCAACGGCAATTGTAACAGAAAACGCTTTAACGCCTCGCCAATCGTCACACAGTGCCGCTGCTGCAGCTTGCTTGTTTTTCTTCTTCTTTTTTTTTGTTTTGTCCAAGGACTTCCGCGAATTTCAGTGCTCGTGCCCAAAGCAACAACAACGACAACAATGCAAATGTCCACAACAATGTTAAGCAAGTGCGGCGGCTTTGTGACGCGCCGTAATAATCAAATGTTGGCCAAAACTGAGCAGAGCTCGCTGCAGCCCTCTCGCCCAGAGCCCCAAAGCGAACGCTTACAGGGGCCAAATGCAACAACAACAACAACAACAACAACAACAGCAGCAGCGACAGCAACTGCATTTGTCTGCCCACGACTTTGCGCCCAACAGTCCTACAGTCTCCTCTGTAAGTTCGCGTACCACGACTCCCCGTCTGTTGTCCTTCTGTCCTCCGCGGAATTGCTGCACCAATTGTTGCATCTGCATCTTTCAATGATTCACCGTCAACGTCTAATCTGACTGATATTCCATTCGCTGTATGTGTGTGTGTTTGTGTGTGCTTGTGCGACCGTGCGTGTGCCTGTGTGCTTGCTTGTGATATGACAGTGAGTGCATATTTATATGACGTCACAGTCGCCGTAAATAATGGCTAATACTGTGCTACGTTCCTTGCCGATTTTTTCTTTTTCTTTTCATATCTGTTTTTAATATGAAAATCAAATATAAAAATGCTGAATTTAATATAAATTATATTTATATGTAAAGCGTGTTCCTTAAGACTTGAAACTTTCAGCTGAAGATTTAAATAGTGATTTATATTAAATTAGATAATACCAAATATTTGAGCTCTATTTGAAGCCAACTCTAAAATGTTTTCTTTCTATTTCATTGCAGCTTGTGGCAGCTATTTTGGAGTCCTCTTGCTACTGATACTGTGTGCCAGCTATAGCAGTGCACTGCCGCGACGCGCGCTTGGCCGCCACCTGATACTGCCACACCGCCACCACGTGCACCTGCGATCAGCGGGGCAGGAGCACAAGCCCGACGAGCACTCTCTGAGATATAAGAAGAAGCTCAACTGCACAATGAACATGGCCAACTACAATGCGATCAATTTGAGGTATGCGCGCGATGTGGTCATTGGCACGCGGGCCTCTACCATTGATCTCATGACTGCCTGTGTGAGTAGCTGGTGCATTTGATGGACACCATCTGGGATTAGGTTGCTAGTTGCTAATCGCCAACCAATTCGTTTGCTCTGCTCTCGATTTTAGTTCAAGGAGACCGAGGAGGAGCTGGCGCAACGCTATCGCTTGCACAGCTTGCACCTGGAGTATCCGCTCAAGAAGGCGGTGAATAACAGCCAGTACAACGGCCAGAGCGAAGAGAACAAGTCATTGGAGGAGGATGTGCTGGACATATACCATTCGCTAGTCAAAATACGCCGGGTTCTGGCCAATGAGACCAAAGCCATCGATGCCAAATGGCGCAACAACTACTTTGTGTTCATTGAGGAGAAGGTCGAGCACAACATTGCCAACGTCGAGGCCCTACTCAGCTGCACGGCCGAAGGCGAAGGCCACATTCCCGATCCCTTCCATAACCATCCATGTCGCATGTATGGCATTGTCAATGAGTTTGTCAAGCTGCTCCATGTGCTGGAGATTAAGTATAGCTTGATGCTGCGCCAGCAGGAGGCGGTGGAGGCGGAGGAAGCGGCGGAAGCGGCGGAGTGAGCACAGCTACGTGCCACATGCCACCAGCCAACAGGTGACCCCCCCCCCCCCCACTCACACAAGGAACTGTACAAGATAATGCCAAAAAAAAAAAAAAAGGAAGAGGACGGAAGAAAAAGAAATGAAAACTAACTTAAACTAAACATCGAATCAGCGATCTATAATGCAATTGCTATAAGCCACAAATCAGGCACATACGTAGCACCTATGTATACATATATATACATTATATGTTATATGTTATATATTATATTTGATCTTGAATGCCATCTATGTTTACTAATAGCGTGTAGTAGCTAATATATTTAACATGCCCTTATTTATTATTATTTAATATAGTTTGCAAATCAAAAATTCGCCCATTTTTTTTTTTATTACTATTCATATTATTTATATTTCTATTTATATATATTCA